ASKAKWRAAAMTWAWYTTWWAAGTGCATGTTTTGCTGGTAATTARTAATGGCACTGAATSATCTTCACTTCAYTGTTCACTTGTTTGAGAAAGATTACAATGATAATACTATCAGGACAGAGCACTTTAATTAAGAGTAACAAAGGATTCAATTATACATTTTGGTTGGAAAATCTCAAATTGAGGATGTTTACAATMAACTGGTTTCTTATTCAAATGAAAACTGCTAAGCATGCTTTGGTGAGAAAAGTTAAAACAATTTTCAACCCAAAATTGTCTCTTTAAATTTCAATCTCATATAATTGCTAATGACAGATATTTGCTCTTCTGATRTAGTAAATTCTTAAGTATAGATGTCAATATGAAGAAACTGTGTTTACTGCATGTTATGGTGCATTGGAAAATTAGTTATCTGATATGATATAAACAGGAATCATCCAGAGGAAATTGRAAATGTTCTATTCATAGATTGCATAGATTCATTCTTTTAACAATTCATTCATTTGTYTATTCTTTCATTTTTATTCATTCTTTGATTTATTTTAACTTTCATTGTTAATTATGCTTTAGTTATTCGTCCATTCATTATTCCCAGTAACTAAACATCCACTTCTCCTTTTTTCTATAGTCATTCAGTTATTTCTTTTCATTTCATATTTCTATTCTTTATCCAATTTCCCATTCTTCCMTTTCAATTTTGTAAATGTTGATGAATAAAAAAGCATTACTCTTCATTCATTTAAGTGGTACAAAAATGTAAAATCAATAATGTCTCTGTCATGGCTATGGCATAATGAGGTCAATCTAGATCTGGACTGACCTCAACTGGTCAGATAATAAGCAAATTCCTGAAGCAAACCTACGTAAAAAACATTCAATCAGGTTTTTTTCGCTTCCTTGAAAAATGAACAATATTTACACTGAAGGAGCGCAAATTCATTTTAACCGAGTTTGGTTTGATAATATCCTGTCAAGGATAATTCAAGATTTTACTTGAATATCGTTAAAACCTCCCTTGGGCTATGATCTACCTTTGATAAGAACAATATAGAATTAATTATCTTTCTTCAATATCTGTACAGAGCCACCAAATCTAAGAAAAGCGTTTGTATCTTTTTTGAAATGCGATCGTCAAAAACTTCARATATTTTCTGCATGAAGTACATGTATACGTAAAATTATTGTTATAAATACATTTTTATTTATTTCCTATTTCATTCTTTTCTTTTTCCTGTTTTCAGTTCTTGAGTGAAATCCTGTACTTATTGATTTAGCAAATATTTCGCAAAATGATTTCTCTCAAAAAGTGGGTCTTTTTGCTTTTAAATAATTATTATCCAAGACATACTGATATGGGTTATGTATTCATGGTAATTAGTTAGGTGCTTAGTCTGAAAATTCACACATTTTGTCTGTCTGCATTTTACTTAAAGCCAAAAATTATACCTTAAAACTTGTGCTACAATATTAGACAGAAAATTGTGCTACAATATTAGACAGAAAATATTTTGAATCAAATCCCTTTTATAACACAGCAGAAATTGTTTGTTGTAAGCCCAGTGTTTCACAACATCCTTTGAAAGTGTAAATCGCTTATGAGATATATTTTTCATAATGAGTTTAGATAGAAAGCCAACTGATAGCTGACATTATTGCAGGCCACAGTAAATGAGTTTGGCTTTTTAAATTATGATACTAAAGTAATTGATAAAAGTATAGTGGTTTGTTGATGTGGTTTTGGTAATGAAGATAGACAAAAATGAATTCTTGAGTCATCCACACACAAAATAAGCTTACTAGGTCTGATAAATGACTGATAAATAATACCGGTTTTCACGATATTTGCATGCTGTCCCAGTGATCTATATAACTGAAGCATGATAATAAATGTTATTCAAGAAACCATGAAAATTCTACTGGGAATCAGTCAGATGGGAATTTAAATCTTATATAGGCTTTCTTTTATGTCTCTTTTCAGAGCTAATGATTTTCTAATCCCAAATACTGACAAAGCCTTACTGTCGAAGGCAAATATCACATTATGTAGCATATTGGCACAATGAAGATCTGTGTCTACAATAATACTCAAATACTGCATTGGAAAATATTTATTTAACTTAGTGCTGTGTAGAAACTCAAATAGCATAGTCAAATAGAAGGATGATAGAACAATTCTGCTGAATTTAGAAAAAATAATAGGTCAAAAATCAAAGGAAATTGTTTAAAATGAAAAGGAAATGTATGCCCTTAGGTGACGAGAGGGTGGCATTCTGATTAATCTCACTTCTCATCAGCTAAACAGCAAGAGTACGAACTCTAGATAACCACAATTACGACACACACAAAACCCACAAATATACAAGAATTATTAATGACATAAAAACGTTTTCTAAAATAAGTGGTATGTTTAGTTAAAGGAATTTGTGTCATTTTTAATTCATTTAGCTTCGACATGAGAATATCCCTCATCCGAAAATAAAAATATTGTTGACATTCTGCATCTGGACCAATCTTTCTGAGTTGGGGATTATCGACAAAGTGATAAACAAAATCACAGATATCTGGCCAGTAGTTTGAATTTCTTACCAAGAATGCACGCTAACTGAGTATTTTTCACATAGCAGCTCAATTGTAGTTAAATCTTGTGCGACAAAAAATTAGTTTGGCAGTAAAGTGAGAAAAAGTGTCGAAATGAATTCACATGGACCAACCACAAGGGAATGAAGTACAATGAAAAAGATTCAGAAATCCTCTTTTTAACCACACTACGTTCAACAGTCAAAGTTAAATCCCTTGTGATACACAAATCATTCATTTACCACTTCTATAGTCTTTTGAGTTGACTTTTAGAGAAAGAGGAAGGATCGGTAAAAAAACAATTGAAGGCAACGCACTTATTAGTTTGGGGGCTGATGAACATATAGTATCCGAAAAAGCCCTTTCACTCCAAAAAACCTCTGATAAGAGTTGTAATTAGACGTTTAGAGAGATCGCTTGAGATTACTGAATTCATTCTTTTTACTTAGAATAGTGGGGGAAATCTTTAATTGCAAGGAAAAGTGGGATATTTTGGATGAACAACTTCCCCATGTGATAGGAGATTGGCTGTTCCGTATCATCTACAAGCTATTTTCAACTCTAATATTGTCATATGTTTTCCATTGCTAGACGTTATTTAAGATATTATTCAACCTCCAAAATTTCCCTAAACATCAGTGTGAGTAGAACACAGCTGTTGAACAGTAGGTTTTTATTTCGTACAAAGGTCGCCGATGTCCATTCCATACACGCTTCTCGCGCTGCAATCATTGTTGTTGTTTTGGTGCAAAATATGTTGAACAAAAATCACTGTTCTGTAGCTCAAAGTGACCATCAAAGATAACTSAAGACTTATAGTACCTGAATGTCGAATTTAACCACGGAATCATCAAGCATACAGACTTTGATAGCGGCTTTACGGCGACCTCTTCTGTTACCACCACTCCCTTCCTCATTCACTTCGTACGAGCGACGGGACATTTTGAACACCTTCTTGCCGRTATTCTTGCAATCAGACCAGGATAGAGGTCTCTCCTGAATTCACTTCGAACACTTCGGGTCAAAAATAGCGCGATAAAGCGCTTTTAGGACCCAGAAAACTCGAAAACAAAGTGTAAATCAAATAAAATTCGAAGTTTTTTTTTGCTAAAAGAACATGAACACAGCGTTGGAGGCTTCGAGCTAATCAAGCTCTCATTGGTCAACATCGAGAACAATGGGCCCTTCATCCATATTTGGTATCGKGATGGCGGACATATGAAACGGAAGTGAAAATCTCGCTGATGCATCGTTTGATAGAACAATAGCAATACTCCTTATTTGGAATGTAAATGGCGGGCTTCTTGAGTTKCGGAAGTGGTATTTCAGTAATGCTTGAAGTATTTGATGAATGTGTGAGAGTGATGATAGGCTTTGTTATCGATATTCAATCTGTAGACAACATCAATATTTGGATTACTCACAACTACCATAAAGCTAATCCGTCTCAAGTCAGAAGACAATATTATATAATAAACAATTTTGAAGGAAGAATTTTGTTGTGTTGCAGCACTGCACGTGGGAAGCCATCAGAGTGCCTACTGTTTGGGTGGATTTAGCGTGATTGTTTGTAAAAATAAACAAAGTTTACGTGTGCCCACCGAGCCATAAGCAATGGCGTGCCGCCTTAGTTTTCTCTTTA